TGAATTGGATGACGACTTTGATCCAGAGGCTGATTCTTTAACGAGAGAATGGGACTCTCAGCCGAAAACACTGCAGGATGATTATGCTGCTGGGGAAAAGGACTGGGACTCATGCTCTGACTCAGAGGAGGACATATACATGGGAGAGGAGGAATATGATCAGGAAAATCGTCTGAAAACTGACGGGGATTATGAGGGGGATTGGGAAGAGGAAGGAGACGAAGAGGAGGAGTATGATGATGATGAAGAAGATTGGGACTCTTCTATATCTACTGAGTATCTCCGTGCTCTCAAAGGCCTTTTCCCTTTGCTGCAAAAAGGCCAAATGACAAATGATGATTCATGGGGATCAGAGCCAGAGCTGGAATACCTTCGGGATGGTGAGTCAGAAAAACGCTGTGTTATGAAAACTGCTCAGCAGGGGTCAAACAGGCTTGTTTACAAATCTGTTGACCGGCTACAAGTCTCGAATATCTTTCAAACATCTGGTCCAGCTACATTTCTGTATAGCCGTTTCCTGACATGCAATCCTGAACATTTCTAGATTATTTAAGGAAGACTGTCCCTGATATCCTCCTGATCACAGTTTAATTACGGCATGGAGATTGCAATGGTCACGTGCAGACAGTCTATGGTTGTGCCCCAATTGCAGGGAATAAACGTCACCACCCCCTCCCACTCACTCGAGGTGAATTCTCCCGTTTATATCCTGTTGGGTTCTCACATCAGCTCAGTCGCAGTTCATGCATAATATTACGAGGCTGGCAGGAGTAACTCTGGATTTATGGTGCTATCCAACCATATGTCTAGCTACTGAAGTTCCTGCATTTTGAAGTTAGAGTTTCGACTTCAGCGGCCGTTCCTCAGGAAGTATCCAACAAAATTTCTGACTTCCCAGATCGAAACGATCGCACCAAAAGTCGGCTGTTTGTGTTCACACATTCAGCTTACCCTTACAAGGCTTCGGAGTTATTGTAGAGCTTTTTCTCTCTGCTGCACATTTAAAAACATTTTAAAGGATTGGTTCGATATTTTCCAAGTCTTTTAGATAGAAAAACTCCATCAGTTTTACTCTTTGAATCCGTCTGAAGTAGTAGTACTGCACTGAGAAAATGTTTTGACACCAGAAGCTACATATGTCATGTTTTCATTCATTGACTCAAGTGATGTCACATGAGTCAGCATCAGGTTGGTTCTGAAGTGTTCTTAAATACAAAATACTAAGGTGTGGCGTCTAAAGGTACTGAGCTTACCAAACCTTTGCAGCTCACTGCTTGTCTCTGCTCGAGGCTATATTAGCCACGAGCATAACAACTTCTGGCGGTTGAGTTGCATTGTGGGTAAAGGTATGCACCTGTTTTGACAAGGAAGAAGAATGATATTGTTGGATGTGCTGCTTCATTCATGACTCATCTCAACCGTCGTCATAAATCAAACAATGTCATCGGAATGCTAAACCGGTTGGACGCTCTCTCGGTACAATATTAACATCACAAGTGGGAGTCATGGGCTGCTGTATTCATTTCACCAGTCAACACGGGCTGCTTGGAAAGCCACAGAGGATTTGAAACCACAGTTCTTCTGTCAGATATGACACGCGTGTTATGAATAAATTAGGAGTCGAAGAATACAGCAGCTGTAATGTACACCGAGTCGGGACGAACATGCTGATCCACTGAAAACAAACGAGCCCTGCATGTTAGTGTCACAGCCTTTAAAACAAACATGTGAAAGGCATGACTATACCGAAGATAATACACCATACTTAATATATTTATTATTCAAAGTCAGCCTATCTCTATGGATTGCTGGGAATGTTGAAGGTATTGCAAAAGCTGTTAAGACATTCCTGAAGCAATCCTTTTGGAGCCAAAGTGACTAAAAGGTGGAACTACCAAAATATGAATACTGCCATAGAGAGACATGATGCTAAAAATGCAATTACAACTTATTAAATGGGTTATGAGTTTCAGATATTGATTGCTTAAACTAGGGGCGGACACAGGTTTATTTGAATGGGGTGGCCAAACTGGGGCACCAGTATGCTGGGGATGCAATGGAGTATGTGACAGACATACGCACACAATTAAATCCTTTTATTAACCCATTCTGTCTCCACTGATCGTTTCTACTTTCATTGCTAACATTCAAGTATTTAAATGATGTTATATTCCAGTAGTTTATAGTTTATTTAACTTTAAAAAGTAACACAACTCATGGGCAAACATATAATTCTTCCATGGTTAATCCTTGAACAACTCAAAAAGTAGATGTTTGTTTATAGTCACAATTTAAAGCACTAACAAAAAGGAGATGTTCTTCATTGAAATTGAAAGAAAGATGGCAGTCTGTTGCAACACAGCTCAAGTCCCACCTCTGACAAGGCACGTAGCCAATCATAGTTTAGGATTTGGAGGCGACCGATTAAATTTCAAGGGAGGCCTGGATCTACCCGTTTCAAACAGCGAGAGTTACTGAATCAGACGGCCTGAGAATTTTTACCTTATTAAGGATCATATTTCAAGTACTTTAAAAGACCCTCGGGTGCTCATTAATGAAGACAACAATGGACGGTCTAATACCAGACAATTTAATTAAGGTATCAGTTCAGTAAGGCAATCATTGATTTGAAGAGGAACCTCATTTAAAAAACATCACTAGTGTTGTCCCTTTGAGGGAATGAAAGCATGCTGTTAATTCTTACATGTTTTTCTCTCAATAGATGTAGCTAAAGGCACCATAATCCAGACCCCGTCCCCTGAACCTCGAGATGACCCTCCGTCCTGTTTCAGCTGCTCTGACTCGTCACAGCTGGATGCCTCAGACAAGGTGTGAATCTATAAATGCAGTATGCATGTGCCTAACATTTAAATTCAATGAAAGAGACAAAATCTAAATCTTTTTCTTTATTTCTTAGGATCACTCCTCAGACGATCTGAGCTCTGGAGTCTTCTCCTCGTGTAACAGTCAGACAGACGGACACATGGAGTGGTTAGCCTCTGCAAACCAGGCCCCCACACACTGCTTTGATGGTGAGACGCCGGGCTGTGCCACCGTGTTATGCAATGCTTGTTTACCGCTGTTTTCATGACTTACTGCTCTGATGCTCCGTGCAGGTGTTGACATCTGGATTGAGAACGTGCAGGGCGAGTGTCTGAGGATCCGAGAACGTCGGCAGGTCAAAGTGGGACATGTTGCTATTGGAATCAGTGATCAGGTAAAGGGGTCATTAAACTGATGATGCAGCTCATTTCAAGGGTGACCTACCATATGTTTTCTACTGTTTGAAACACTAAATCCATAACTACAGTCCTGAGATAAACGTACCGCAGTAAAATCAAATATGAGTTTTTATACTCATCCTCCAGTAATCCACATAAATGATCTAATCCATCATCCAGGTTTCAGGGAAAGCCTTCACCTTGGAGACCCTGGACAGAAAGACGGTGTCCTTTGAAGAAGAAATCAGAGAGTCGGGTCTGTGGCTGCGCTGCGTTCCTGCTCCTGACAGATGTCAGCGCTGGAGGTGGAGAGTCAAAGACAGCAAACTGGAGCTTCGAGAATGACATAAATGTTTGTTTTCTTTATTTTTTTGCACTAACTTTAGGTAATAATTGTTCTTTGACTATGTCGATTTTTAACGTGTTTATGAAGGCCAGAATGAATTGCTGCTGATTTGAGGGAGTTTTTTTGTTATGAATCTTTAGTTTTTCTCTGTATTTTTATTGTAAAACAACATATCTCTACATGTGTTTGTTCCCTCCATGGTCTGGAAACCAGAGTGTGTCATGTTTATCGCTGCTGTTTGAGGTTCTGAATGAGAGAAGCTGTTGAAAAACTGTGTCATAGTACAACATGAGCCTTGATGACTTTAATACTTGAATGTCAGACATTTTATAAATTAATTAAAAAATGACCTCCAAGACAAAGAAGCTTCCTTATTTTTGCCGACTCTGCTTGTTTTTCAATCCTTCATTCATTCATACTGTGAGTGGAGGACAGCCGGTGGAGTAAGGACACCATTGATCACGACACACGAGATGATGAATGTCCCTTTTGTACCGCTGCAGACTATGAACAGACCTGTAGCCTTCAGGACAGATTTCAACCCCTTTAACAAAACTGCTTTGAAAAGTTTATTTGACTGTTTCAGATTGGTTACCTGGTTTTATTTCAATCATGACAAACACATGCATGTTGCATATCTACATGAAGTTTGGAATATTTTGTATGTACATTTTTCAAAGAGATGTAAAAATATAATGGGTCTGCTCCTTTGTAAAGTGTCTCAGGATAATTGGCGCTATACAAATAATGACTGATTGGTTGATAGAGCTTATATGCTGCATGCATGCTTGGATATTGCTGGCCTATATACCAGCCAGAACAACGACCAGAGTACCAAACTCCATTCGAGTCCCTTTGCACCTTTAAAGAAAAGCTAAAGACCAACTCTTTATGAACACCTACGACCTTAATGATGATGGTGATGATTTAAATATGATGTTGATGATGTTTTTTTTTTTTGATAACGACGATTTTAGGATGGTTAATTGACAATTCTAATTCATTAATAATGTGAAGCAGTTTCAAAACGGTGCTAAAAACAGTCAATGGGGGTTGCGTCTTAAAACATTTACCTTGATGAATAAAGAATTTCCCAATAATAAATTATGTATTCAACAGAGGTTAAATGTTTTGAGCTCCAATAATGTCAATTCTGATAAAGAGGGACAGAGAAAACATTATTTTATTCCAGCCAATCAAACATTTCACACCAAAAGGTAGTGCTGTGAGGAAAAACGATACCTGACGTAACTTGTGTACGGTTCACTTCCTCGACATTTTGTGCTATGTGCAAACAGGAACCTGCTGATGCTGTGATTGGACAGCGGGTCTGCATGGGGCGGTATATTAGTTACACTATCTGCGCCGTGATTGGACGGTGCGCCAACAAGGGCGGGTTATTAGGCGCGCCAGCTGTGCCGTGATTGGACCTGATTTGATAGTGGGAAGTGCCCGTGCACCGGTGTCTCCCTGGCTGCGCAAGACGCCATTTTGGAGTGACAGTGAAAGATAACGGAAAGATCGAGAAGCTGTCTTTCTAAAGGTAACATCCGACACAAACACGACGGTTTCTTCGCTCTGTATTGTCAAAGTTGTGCCCGCGGAGTGTTTGCTGTGTGCGGTCCGCGTCGTTTCCCGCGGTGTTAAACGTGACGTCACGGTGTTCGCTCTGTACTGTGACGCGGCATTTAGCTAACCGTTAGCCTAATGCTAACGCAGCTCCCGTAGCGATCAGATGAAAGCTGTCACTGTCGGGGTGTTTTTTTTTTTTTTTTTTTTTTTACATAATACTGAGTTAAAATCGAACAGAATGTCGACGTGATTCAACATTTTATCACGTGTGGTAACTATGTGTCAGTAAGTGTTGTTAAAGGCTGCGCTGCTGTCGACGTTTAACGATCGGGAAATTGTGTCGCCAGTTACTGGAAAGCTAACTGAAGCTAACATGCTAACTGAAGCTAACATGCTAACTGAAGCTAACATGCTAACTGAAGCTAACATGCTAACTGAAGCTAGCATGCTAACTGAATCTAACAGGCTAACTGAAGCTAGCATGCTAACTGAAGCTAACATGCTAAATGAAGCTAACATGCTAACAGGCTGAAGCATCCGCCCTAAGTAAAGAAAGCGGTCACCAGCTTCCCGATTATTCCCCTTTCCGTCCGAAACAGGCAACTTATCTTGACATATTTAATCACTGCTGCTCATCATTTCACCGCCCTGAATGGGATATAACATTAAAATCATTTTGTCGGCCCTTTTTTTTTTTTTGGATAAGGTCGAGATGTTGTTAGCATGCTAGCGAGTTAGCGTCTTGTGACAGTAACATTATCCCCGCCGCACAGTGCACAGGATGGAGGGTTTCCAGCTGGAACAGGCCTCTCTTATCGGCTCAGCCCTTCAGTTTATCCGGGTTAACAACGAAGCCGACTCTGGATGCATGATTGTTAGCTGCTAAGGAAGATTTTTAAGTCGAAATATGGAGCAGTAAAGCGGCTGTGAGGTGAATTACATGTTAGATAATGTCTGATGTTGTTGACGGTTTGGAGCTGCCTGGTAACGTATATAACCTTAAACTGTAACCTAAATGTTTAATCATTATCTACACACACGAACTACAGGAATTATTTAACTGTAAGCTCGACAGTTAGGGGCTTAAACATTTATAATATTTAACATATCCAAGAAAAACACAACCAATATGCATCATTAATAATCTTCTAAACATGTGAGTTATCCACATGAACAGACCCTGAGGTAACAAGATCATATGAGATCATAGCTTCTTATTTTGCATCGTAGATAAAAAGAGCTAATGAACATAAAATAACCAAAAAGTCAACTAGACTGACAGGAAGAGATGACGTTTTATCTATTTAATCACAGGGGAACATATTATTTGATAAAAGCGATATTTGTTTTGTAAATTACACGATAAGATTAATATTCTTAAATTGTGAGTGACAATAACAGGGTTCTTCACTGTGTGTGCTGAACAATGTCAGGTGTTTTTGTGGGGGGTAAATTCTACAATTCACTTAGCAGACGCTTTTATCCAAAGCGACGTACATCAGAGAGTAAGAACAACACAAGCAAGGATCTAGAAAAAAGGGAACAATGTGAGTAAGAGCAAACGATCAGCTTTGAGTCTGATTGGACACACAGGTGCTGACAGGAAGTGACCAGAGACAAAGCACAACATTGAGGGCAGTTCTTGAGAGCTCTAATCAGTATAGAAACCATCTTATAAGTCGTCGTTATCAAACAAAAACCATCGTCATTACCATCATCATCATCAATAATATGGAGACCATCATCATTAAGTTAGTAGGTATTCATGAAAGAGCTGGGTCTTTAGCTTTTAGCTCTGCAACAGTGTAAAAAAATGTAGATACAGTTGTTGTTCGGTAAGATGATGGCAAACCTTCTAGAGATTGTAATACGGGGAAACACTAAAATGACAGGCCATAATGGATTTAATCAAAAAAATTGACTTCTGGGAGGCATTGGTGGCCTAGTGGTTGGTGCATGGACCCCTTGTGCGGAGGTTGAGGCCCTCCGGGCAGGCGGCCCTGGTTAGGGTCTCTGTCCACTGTCCTATCTCTAACTGAAGGCACAAAAAAAATGTCCAAAAATAAACAAAAAATGTAATTTCTCGGTAGAATTACTCTCGACTCTGGATGTTGTCAATTATACTAAAATGACATTTTTTTCAGAATAAAATATGCACAAGAATTGGTTGCATGGATTTCATTTCAATATATGTAGTACTTGGCGTATATTAAAAAATGGTCAGTAACATCGCCGTTGTAGTTCTACTGTTTAGTAAATTGCTCCGGACGCTCAGCTCACGCTAGCTCCGTGTCAATGGATGGGTACTGTTGGGCACTTAATGTAGCGGCCTCTTCCATCAGTGTGTGAATGTGGGGTGGACGAGTGAATGTGACAGGTAGCGTAAAAGCCCTTTTGAGTTGTCATAATACGAGAGAATGAGTCAATTTACACACGGCCGATCATGTTGCATTAACTGCGCCCTCTTCATTAAGCAAAAAGCCTTTTACTCAACTAGATATTATTATTTCATCAACCTGTTTCATTTTTCTGTAAAGATTTTTGGAACGTTTAAGTTGGTGCTGGATATCTTGATTATTTCTACTCCATCAACACTTCAAACACGACTCTCCTCTTAACCCTGTTTTTCTTTCTCTCTTTACCTTCACAGCTTCGTCACCATGGGGAATGTATTCGCAAACTTATTCAAGGGCCTGTTTGGCAAAAAAGAGATGAGGATCCTCATGGTCGGGCTTGATGCTGCTGGAAAAACTACCATCCTATACAAACTGAAGCTTGGAGAGATAGTCACCACCATTCCCACCATTGGTATTTATGTCTATATTTTAATCTTAGCTGGATGGATGAAGTTTATTGATCTCAAACTGTGTAATTGTGATGTTACAGCAGCAAATATATACATCCAGAATTTAGTTTAACAAATGTTATGACTTGGGAGTGTAAAGGGCCGAGTATCTTCTGAATGCTTTTGATACTTATGCCCATACATTGGCAAACCTTTTTTTATTTGTGTCACCTTGTGTTAAAGTCACATTATTTAGTTATCAAGTGAGCGCTGTATTTAAAAACTACCAGGGGGAACAAGAGATAAAACGCATCCTGAAGTGGGAACAATTGTTATTTCAAACCAAGAACTTTTTGATCCAAAGTTACCCACACAAGATAAAAATCTCACGAGATTCGATGTCGTCTTTCACTATCTGATCATTTAAATAGTTGTGTTGTTGACAGAAAGCGTTCAGGTTTGATGCCCAGTCCTGTTAAGGACATCTCATGTGCAGGGTTCAGTTTTTATAGATGATTTTATCATTTGCATTTAGGCAAAAAAAAATACCTCAAAACTATTAATAGCTCAGGCTTTTATTTACATTAGTCTATATTTGGGACAGGCGTCGATACGAGATGGGCCTTTAATGATTTCTTTTTCTTTTTTTTAGAGTATTTAAATTTGTACAAAATTATGGTATTAATAATCAAATTAAATTGCAATTCAGGGATTGATCTAACTGTGAGACAGCCCATCTGAACCAACATACTGCGCTGTGGGGGAGAGGGAGACACCCTTGTTAAATATTTTTGATCCGCAAACTATTCAAACACTACACTTATAGGGACCTCTAATAGGGCCCGACCGATGAGTGACATAAACACAACTTTTAAACATCGTAATCCTCTCCAGAGGGAGAGATGCCATGTCCTTAATCGATTGATCTATAGATGGGAAAACAAAGCTTGTTTGGTAGACCCAAAAACTGTCATCAGTATGTTGAGATGTGAATTAATTAATTACAGAACAGACACTATGACTGTCACTGATAATGAGTCATACAAAACTTCACATATCTGTTGAAGTTGTTGCAACATTGTGCAGCTCTGTTTTTCATCTAACACATTGGTGAAACAGTTAAATGTTGTCTTTAACAGGATAGATTTGATTTAGGAGAGTTCTTATGAAGCTTAAGGCACTTCATGATAAACATCAGGAACTAGGTTATTAAAACAAATAACTTCAGAGATAAATAATCTGGGGCAGTTGACAGTTTAATAACGTTGTTTATGAGCTCATAAAAAGAACAAAATCCAGGTTTGATATCTGGCCTTGATCTCAAACACGCTTATTGAACTACTATACTAAAAGCAAGTTTATGTAAATACAAGAGCTCATACTGCGTTTGTTTTGGTGCTTTCTTTTTTCATCCCAAATGTTGACTCACTATCAAAAACTTGATTTGTTTTACATTTCTGTGTCAGCTTGTGACTAATCTATGTCTCTCTTCTGTCCAGGTTTTAATGTTGAAACTGTAGAATACAAGAACATCAGCTTCACAGTGTGGGACGTGGGCGGTCAGGACAAGATCAGGCCGCTGTGGCGCCACTACTTCCAGAACACTCAAGGTGAGGGGGACTTTATCCCAGCTGGCGGTGTCAGTGAAAATGAAAGGTCACACATTATGTAAAATATACTTTACTGTGTTGTTAGAATACTAATGTGTCTCAAGCCTTTCTGCAAAAGTCCATCCTCTCCGTCTTTTGTCTACTGCACTTTTCAGAAAATGTGTGCTCAAACAGGCCCTTCGGAGATTTTTCTCTTTGTGACGTCACAAAGGGCAGTAGCCCCTCCCCCAGGTGGGTGACACTCCCACAGCTAGGTGTTTGTTCTGCCCTCAATAATAGGGCATGGAGCGAGAAAGCAAGAGTACACCAAGCCCTTCCAGGGGGGTGTGTGGTCAGACACAGCCCATTTACATATTTAAAGCTACAGACACAGAAACAGTCTGTTCTGAGCAAGGCTTATAGAGGGGTTCATAGGCATGATCAAATACAGGATCAGAGTGGATTTAGAACAAGAAACTTCACACACATGTTTTGGGCAGCTCTGAGACTTATTGAAACGGGTAAAAAGGAGTATGATATGTGACCTTTAACACCTATAGGTGGCCTCACTGGAAGTTGCTCTTAATGCTAGTCAACCAATGACTCATGCACCATTGTTCAATCCTCAAAGGGTGTATCGTGTGACTCCTACTGTTTCCTGGAATTGAATTAATCAGAAAATGCAAAGGGACTGCAGGATGGCTTTTAGCAACATGCTCAGTTTGAGTAGCTTCAAAATGAGTTTATACAAACAGAAATCTACCTTTGGGTTTTTTTTTCTTGCATGCAACAGACAAACATCCAGCTGCAGTAAACATCACATCCCCACACTGAGCATCCAAGTGTGAAATTGAAGCGAGAATCCTTTTTGGTTGCGACTGAAAGATACAGAATTATTAATCAAAAAAAAAAAAGGGCCCAAGAGTATCTCAGAAGCAACACGTCTTATTTCAGGGTTAAAGGGGTTGCTTTCCCCAGAATGTAAATACGCTCACTCCTTTTTACATGCGCAGACTTACTGTCTTGAAAATATCCCAACCCTTTACCTCCAGGTTTCTCCAGCCTGGGGATTTGAGGAGACGTAATTGCTCCTGGAATAAATCTGAGGATAACAAGGTGATTAAATGGATTTAAAAAAATAAGTCAAAACGTCCTCCAATTCAGGCCGACAAAAGTTCATGAAATTAAAAGAAATGCAGAAGAAGAAAACACCCTTTGATTTCATGGGAAACGCCTTTGTTGCAAGAGGTCACAGCCCGAACGGTTCTGAGGCGTATGAAACAGGGGAACAGTATTCTTGTACTGAAGTCTCTTTTCTGTGCACCGAGCAGTATTTGTCTTTCAGTTTCAGGGAGGGTCTTTTCAAACTGTACAGTCCTGTCCCTAAAGGAGTGTCAAATCTTATCACTATATCTTTAAAGGCAATAAATGCAGTTTAACTGTAGAGATTACCTGATCATAGGTAGGACAATCCCCCTCTACTTTGTAAAGTCAGTGATGCCTTTGTGTCAGTGACGTTCTGCTCACTGCAGAGGGGTCGGTAATTTAACAGACAATGAGACAGTCGTGCTGCGGGGAGCCGTGCTGCAGTAACCAGAGCCAACTCCTCGACAGGCTGCTGCTTCTAGATGTTTACTGCAATGTAAGCTACAGGGATGATACAGACTCCACAATCGTACACTGATCTGACTTCCTCATAGTTCACTCACTTCAGCCGTGAGGAGTTCAAAGATGTCCCACAACCATCCTTTTTCTTTCGTCTCACATATTTTCTGCTTTTCGATTATGACATTAATCAACTCAAATGATTGAACGGTGGATCTCTGCAGAGGTAACAGCTGCCAGTCACCGATGTCAAAGCAGGTTTTTCACGTTGTGATGCAAATTTTAAAACTCAGCATTTCCCAGTCATTACAGTCTTTGATATCATCTGACTCTTTAGTCTACTTTTCTCAAGATGCTGAGTTTCATCATTTATAGGAGGAGTGAGTCTCAAAAAGACTTGGCAGCCCTGAGATATATTTTCAGCCGCTTCAAAGATTCTTATGTTCATTCAAAATGAGGCCGAGTCCATCCTGCTAACTGGATGCTTTTTGTTATTTCTGAGACGCCAACAGTGACCCTCTTCTATATTCCACTCAGGATGAAACGGGCCTGTGCTGCGCAGACGGCAGTGATTGGAACTGTTTAGAATAACGTCATATAGCGGTCCGCTTCCTTGTTTGAGCATGGTTGCAGTCACATCTTCCGGGCAGAGTACCTGAGTACAGTACGTTTGTATTCACACTGATCAAATGAACCGGACTTTGGGTAAAGCGACAAGCTTTCACCGTAAGAAACACAAGTATACAAGCGAAACGGTAAGCACTAAGGAGGAAGAGTGTTTAAAAATCAAGATGAAAACAAGCAAGGGCAGAACTAAGTAAAAGCAGAACGTCTGCAGTCTATCATGATAAGGACAGCACATTAAGCCGGTGTGCAGCAGCTGTTGTGACTTTGTTTTTGTTTTCCGTGCAGGTTGCACAGAAACTTATGTTCCTCCCTCCTTTTTGCGAGTGAGAATAGAAAATCGAGGCTTAAAACCTCAGCCAGTTAAAGTCGTCATCCCTAAAGGCTGTGGTACCCTCGTAATGAAACATGTTTTTTGGGGGAAAGTGAGAAAATAAAAAAATATCCTTTTTAAATTAAGCAAATCTAAATGCAAACTCCTAAAATAAGAAGTCGGCTGGCGCTAGAACAAATGTGTCTCAGCATAGTTTTATCTTCACTTCTCTATTTTTCTGTTTATTCAGCGTGTTCCAGCTTTACACCAAAAGGCACATCGAGCTATTTTACTGTCACAGGCCAATTTCCAAAGCTGTAAAAAAATTACGAGAGTTGTTATGGAGCATCCTGTCGAGGTTGTGATAATAAAACTCAGCCGAAGCTCTAAGTCGGTGTTTCTGTCATCCCGATGTTCAGATTGAATCACTGTGTTCTAATTTTTGAGGCCTTTTAGTGTCACTCATGAAAATAGAGAAGCTAAATGACAACATCTTAAACGACCAATAGGAGCCGTCTCTTTCAAAGACTTAACCGGGGACTTGGTGGAGAACTTGGTGGAGGCTTGAGGGAAGGCGGCTGTCAAAGTGTCCTGACTACCGCTATGTAATTATGCGATGTGAAAGCTGGGATCATGGCGTGCAGTCTGAGTGACGCTGCGACAGAACAAGATACTGTAAAGTAATGTGGAGGACGAACATGCGGTGCTAGTGTTCTTAATGCATATCCATCTCATGTTAGAAACTCAATCATTGCAGACGACGCAAACAATTGAACTTAAACAAGATCAGCTGTGACTGTTTATTTTTTTTATTTTTTATATCGTGACCATGGTGGGAAGATTGTAGTTGTTGACTACGTTCAAAAAGATGAGAAGATGTTCTCCTGAATGTTGGGCTTAGAAGCCATATTTTGTATTCTTACCTCTGTTGACTATTTGTTTAGTTTTGCTCCTTTATATGTTTGATTCCCGGTAATTAGCAGTGGGCGTGGCTTTACCTCCATTTTACCTGTTCGATTGTGTGGCGGGAGGCGAGACAAAGAGGGTGAGCGAGTTTGCATATTTTCAGTTGCTCATTATCGTCACTATCTTTAGTTGAATAAATCAACAACTTATCTGGACTTGAAATTGTATTTTCATATGAATGAGTCACAGGTACCGGCCCATTTAATCTCTGTGCGGCATTTTCCAATCTTAATCTTCTTGTTGCATACAAGTTTGTCCTTCATAAATCTTAAAAAATGGAAGAAAAACACCCCTGTTCATTGTGACATAAAGTTGGCTTGAACATCGGTGTGAAATGCTGGGTAGGATAACACAATCTTCATGGTTGACCTACTTCTTCAAAGACCTGCAGCAAATGACATATTGGAGGTCATCTTTCAGCGCTCTTCTGCACTTCACTGCATCCTGATACCCGAGTTGATTGCCTGCATTTCTCTGAGCTCATATTTAGTGATGTATTCAATTAGACAACTTTCATGTTAGGCTGCACGGAGCTGCCTTCCCACAGTCTGAATGTAAAGTTGTGACTTCTGTCGGGTCACGGAGACTTAATTTAGCAGTCGGCGCGGTTTGTACAGAATTGACTATTGATCCGAGTCGAAGCTTTTGATCTGGCAGAGGAGACGTCGCTCTGGAACTTAAAAAACCATCTCCATGTCTCAACTAAATGCTGAGACGCAGCTATGTGGTCGTCTGTTAGTCCTAACGGTGAGCTGTTTGTGTGTGCAGGGCTTATCTTTGTGGTGGACAGCAACGACAGGGAGAGAGTGAACGAGGCGAGGGAGGAGCTGTCCAGAATGCTTGCTGAGGACGAGCTCAGAGACGCTGTGCTGCTTGTTTTTGCAAATAAACAGGTGAGCTGAGTTTTCTTTTCATTATGAAGAGGTTTTTGTTCCTCATCAGATATCAAACCTGCATGTTGACCGACATTATCTTCTCCTCCCAGGATCTCCCCAATGCCATGAACGCTGCAGAGATCACAGACAAGTTGGGCTTGCACGCCCTCCGCCAGCGCAGCTGGTACATCCAGGCCACCTGCGCCACCAGCGGGGACGGCTTGTACGAGGGCCTGGACTGGCTCTCCAACCAGCTGAAGAACCAGAAATGATCCATTCCACCAGTTTTGATTTTTGTTTGTTGTTTATTTTTTCTGTTTCAACACAGCGGCAGCACCGGATCCAGACCCCCTCGCTCCCATCTAACCCAAACCTCGACCCGAGCTCTTTCTTTCAAGAACTTCCTCCATTCCCTCCTCCTGCTTTTCCCCCTCGTCAGTACTCTTTGGGGCTCTAGCCTGTGCTGCTTGTGTGTGTGCGTGTGGGCGTGCGTGTGTGTGTGCGTGTGTTCCTCGTGTGTTCAGCGAGTGTGTGTGGGTGTGAAGGCGTCTCTGTGTATGTTGGCTGGGATTGGGAGTAACCCTGGCGTGCCTTTTACACACCTCCTGTGGAATCAGCAGTCTGGTTTTCAAGCCCCTCTCTCCATCCACCAAACTCAGCCCCCGCCCCACTCAGCCTGCCCCCACTCCAAGTCTTGCACGGCCCCCTTCTCCCCCCCCCACCCTTACTCTCCAGAGGAAGCATGGTTTTCATACGGCAAAGAAAGAGCAAGGGTGCACGCTCTCCCTACCTCCTCTCCCCCTGCCCCCCCTGCGCTCCCTTTAGTGTATATCTGTGTTAAGTAGAAACGTTCACCTCATGTAGACTGAATGCTAAATGTTCATTTTAAACCTTTTTTTTGATTTTCAAAACCTCAAACCCACCAGTAAGAGATTCAGCAAATTGCATCTTAACCTGTATCAGGTCGAAGCAAATCAAAAACTAGAAGAAAAAAAGGACAAAAAAACAACAACGCCCATCCTCGTTCATTCTGGTGTCATCTGAAAATCATGCTGTTTGTTTTATTCTTATTATATCGGACTGTAACAGAATATTCTGACTGAACACTACCTTTGGCCCCCCCTCACCCCCCTCCCCCTCCCAACTAAGCGAGACTGAAGCACAAGGCAAGCCAACAATCTATAAAAATGTAATCAACTTAAAACAAATTAGAACCTGCGAGTATATGCAATTGAAATCTTTTTTGGTATTTGATGTTTAATTCCCTGGATTAAAATTTAGAAAAACACCTTCAGTATCCAAATCATTCTGACAGTGTTCCTACTCCACAAACAAAAACAACAAAAGGTGTTTGGGCATTTCACAGACATCAGACGGTTAACTGACGCAGGTGTCCCGATTACATTCACGAGCTTCACATGTTATTCCTTTAAGAGATGTTACATGTGTGTGTTTTTTTTTCTGTAACTAGTTTTAGCATTTCTATTTGTACTTTTGACTGCTGAACCAAATGCATCCGAGCAGTATGACAAATCCTGTATTCGAGACGTAGAGAGTCCTCCAGGGCCCGCTTTTGTTTTTGACTGAACGGTCCTTTTTTTCCTCCCAAACGGTTGGCTGTTTTACTCTTTAAAAAAAAAAAAAACAATGTGAAAGCATCCACATGTCTAAGTTGTTCCTGGTTGGGATGAAGGATTGGCACCAAATATGAAGGCTCTTTAACTGTGAATGGAAGAGAGAGGAAAAGCTAGTTGTAATGTCCGGGTGTTTACAGGCTACTACTACTACACATCACAGCCCTGCATTCTTCATGACTGTAAAGACAAACATAGCAAAGCTCTCTCTCTGTTTTCAGCAGCTCGTCGGCGAGCTGAAGGACTCGGTGGTAGGCCTGTTGAGGGGGTGAAAAAAAAAAAAAAAAGAAGGGCGTGCAGTTAACTGGTTGCGTGATTCAGCAGGCGTTCTCATTGTGGAACCGTGGGGGTAAAGCTGGCACTTCTGTCAAGAATGATTGTAAATCTGTAAGTTCCCCTGTAAACTGTTTCTGTGGGGATTTCCTGAACACATTAATAAACATGATTTGATCCAACACTCAGAGACTCTTCGTATGTCTGCGTGAGCTCATTTTCTGTCTTAATACTTTGGTTTGAAAAACAAAAACTGGCCGACTGATCGTATAATCTCAGGCTCAACTGTAGAGCTCCATGTGGCTTTATGATTTTCACTTTTTGATTGACTTGTAACCTGGCTAAAAAATGTGTAAATACCAGTTGTCAAGCTATCAAAGCCTCTGTCAGGAATTTTAATCTTGTTAGGAAATCGACAGAATCCAACACACCAAGGAGGTCAGGTGAGCGATCGTCTTTGCAGTGTGTCTAGCTCCGTCGCTAGTCGTTGGCCCCCCGTCGGCCCCTAAGTACTTTTTTCTTTTAAGCTCTGCTACTGCTCTGAGACATCGACTGGTGCAGACTTCTACAAAAAAAGAACATCGTGAAACAATCAAAATAAAAAAGATACAAGAAGGAAAAGGAGAGAGGAAGAAATGTGATTTTAAGATGTAGGAGGTCATACAGTTTCAATTCAGGTTCTAAAGTGCATGTTTACATTTTGTCTCAGTCCTTAAAGAGTCACCTTCCCAGAAAAGCTGCAGCTGCTGGAGGGTGAAATATTGAATCTCGGTTAGGGAGCACTGATTGGTTCATGAAATAATTACCTCGGTCAAAGTGTTTTCTGGAGCTTTGCGGGTCTGTAAATATTTAACTAGGTTTGAACCTCTTGGTTAAACTCCTGTTAGAATGAGAGGAAAGAAAAACAGGTTGGCCATCAGCTGCTGTCTCCCTCCATCCCTTTCTTTTCTCTCTCCCTCTCTTCAGTTTATCAGATCCAGCCACCAGGGGGAGCCAAAGAGCCTCGTTACAGAGTCAAAGGTTCCTTTGCAGCTCTGGGGAATTTTGATTAAGTGACAGTCAGAGCTGAAGACTGATGTTACAAGTTGGCACCTCAAGCTCAATCTAACGGCGCCATTTTCAGTGTTTTAAAGTCAGAAAATGTGTAAATCTGTATGATCAGTAATGTCGTGTGTGTACAGATCAGCTGGTAGTCACATTTTGTTAATGAGAGAGAGGATGAGCTCTGGGTCTGCAGCTCTCAGGCTTCAGTTTAATTTACTGCCCTCTTAAGTCATTAAAGACAGACATCTCCACTTCCAAATAAACTGCTATAAATATAATACAAATCCACATTTTTTTCTACTGTTTTCTGCATAAATCTCTGAAACGGCTTCAGCTCTGCTCAAAACTACCAAATAATTATCAGGATTTTAACTCTTTAAATGCCAGAATCATGTAATCAAACTGGCATTTAAAGGGTTAAAAACCTCAAAATGATTGAATGTTTGGTAGCTGTGGTGCCCTGCTCAAGAGCGCCTCGGCATCGCTCAGGAAGTGACCACCTTTTTTTTTTTATTGTTGGCATCTCGGACCCCCTTCTTGATGGCCCGCGACCCCCCCGGTGGATCCCGACCCTGACTTTGGGAACCACAGGTCTTGAGGTTGTAAGACAAATGTAAATAACAAAGATAAACATATTTTAATAAATTACAGTGGAGGAGAATCATAAATAATCATAAATTAGAAATACTGACATAAAGTCTACTTAATTAATTCCAATATATTAACAACAAACAGCCTGTTGTTGATTGTTTATCAGATTTATTGAGTTTATTTTCTTGTTTTTATTTTTATAATGCTCATTTGATTTAAAGTAGCCTCCATATGAACCCGGAAGATGAACTCAATCACGCTTTAACAGGTTACACTTTTAAAATCAACGAACCAGCAGCTTCGGAGAGGGGAAGGGGGCGGGGCCTATGTGCACACCTGACGCTCTAACTCCGCCCTCCCTCCCTCCCGGCTCCTCACACTTCTTCTTCACGCTTCGCGCTCATTAGTAGTGACACGGTGTCCTGTGTTGGCTCAGCGTCACATTTGGGATGAACAGAATGGCAGACAGCTGAACCCCGACCGGCTCACACTGCATGAAGTCTACAGGTAGGTGCTAACATGCTAACATGCTAGTCCAAACCCAAACAGGTGCAGGCTGTTTTCTTATGTTTACCGCGAAATGTAATCTTATATGAAGAAAATAAACTCAGCCGAAGTAAGCCGAATTTGTGTCCATATTCAGTTTCAACTTTCTGATTGTAAATGAAAGTTGACCGAGCTTTTTTGAAGACGGGGGAAGAATTTCCTTCAGTTTCTGTCCGAGGTTTGGCGCTACGCCTACACCTGTGTTTAGATTAGCTTAGATTTCAGCCCCTGGAAAACTACCATTCGTTCATTTGTACAGCTTTGCCATGTCTGCATTTTATTCACCGACACCAGAGACAACATCTGTGAGAAGAATACCAGTGTTTCGACCTTTATTAACCTCAGAATTGAGGGTTTAAAGTGGACTTGTGTTGTCTTCAGAACACTTGCTCCAGAGAGCAAACTGCGCACAGGGTCAGTGGGATCCCTCAGGGAAGTGTTGGTAGTCTGATAACAAGTGTCTCGTTTCTCAAGAAATTCGTTTTATTACGTCTCAGGTGCTCCACATACAGAGGAGCCTTATCTTTGACCCCTAGCCTACTTTATACTTTCGTTAGATGATGTTACAGCTTGAAGGAGATCAGGCAGGTATGATGCTGAAACAACCAACAGAACATGTATTAAATGTAGTTTTAATCAATAAATCAACCACAAGTATCAAACATTTATGCATAGCCGCCTCTAGAAAGGGTGTTTTTGCAGTTTTCATTCTTTTATCATGACATTTAATTAATAATATTTAGTCGTTTTTCAGAATCAGGTTTATTGACCAGGAAACACGAGGAACTGTGCTCTCTATGTTCAAAAAGTTTAAACATAAAATAATCAAAGACTAATATGAACAAGACGATGAAGTGGTGAGGAGGTAAACATGAATATTTAATGATGCACCCGATGGGTTAATTTACATGAGGTAGAAAGAGTTTTTACAGTAACTGTTAAAATATATATATATATATATATATATAGGCACTCATTTGATCAAAAGATGCTCCAGTGTGTCACTGTAGTCCTGTGGGCGGGCGGCCGGGTGGGCGGGCGGCCCAGGTTCAAGTCTGACCTGTGGCTCCTTTCACACACGTCATTCCCCACTCGATCTGCGCTGATTTCCAACTCTTCATACACCTTTAAAAAAAAAAAAAAGGACCCACAGGTGCAGCGGAGAGGTTTTAAACCAGAAGCGATTTTGTGTGTGTGTGTGTGTGTGTGTGTGAGATCAAAGCAGCGAGCGTGTCTTTGAATCTGCAGGCGGCCTCCTGTTCCCCTCGTGCTGCACGATCTGCATATAACCAGACAACAAACTCCGTCACCTGGAAACTGTCAGGAGGAAGCATGACACGCCTTTTTTATAAAGCTGGTTGATGTCGTTGAAATAAATAACACATTATCATCAAGAACACTCTCCTACTTCGGGTTTTTATCATCACGTACGAAGCTCTTTCTAATATCGTATAACAAAAGTTAACTGAAACTTATTCTGCACAAAATGAGATTAAAAACACAAATTACAGCTTCATCAACAAGTTCAAGTTATCTTTATTAGTCAAATGCAACAACATAACAGGCAAAGCAGTCATAGCTGGCAATGACATTTTGTGTTCCAAGCTCTCCTTAAAAAATGCAAAAAGAAAAAATAGTATAGAAGACAAGAGTAACAACGTAGAGTGCAATTAAGAACCAAAAGTTCAGAAAAAACTAGAATATATATATATATAATATAAAAAACAAAACAGTGAAGTGTCTCAGACAGGAACAACAACAGGAAGTCTGTATATCGTCTGACATGTGTAGCTCTCAGTTTCGGTCTGAAACTTTTCCAGTTGATGTTTTTCTCTGTGCAGGTGACGTCGTTGTGAAGCAGGTTTTTATTTATTATTTATTTTTATTGGTGCAGCGTGAGTCAAAACAAACACGTGGAGCCGTGTGTTTGTGACAGCAGCACGCACCTTTGTGATTGAAGGACTACATCACTTCACACACAAAAGCTACAAGTAAACAACACGCTTTAGTCATACTTTCCTCACTCGAAATAGATTCTTCATGGCTCAGAGCCACTACAAATATACAAACCTGAATTTCAACACGCACCTGCTGCAGTGTGCGTGTGATTGATTGCGTTTAATCTGGTAAACAACTTCTCATCAACATCTTTTTATTGATATTTTCCGAGTTAAACAAGACAAAAGATAAGAAGGAATAAAAAAGGAAAGAAAAAAAAAAAGGGTAACATGTGCCATTCATTAGTCAAAATACACAAATCAGGGTTTTTCATTTAAGAGTTACTTTCCGTACAGTACATATTCCACTTCTTCCAGACTTTTATATATTGGTCAAACTTTCGCCTTAATGAGAAGGTCAGTCTCTCCATGTAGTGTATTTCGTTGATTATTGCGAACCAAAATATGTGAAAGTGATCTGCCAGTGATTTATAACATTGCCTCCAACATTTGTTCTGACCCTGAAAACCCCTGCAAAAACTCAACTTCTGACACTTCTTCCAGACTTTTATATATTGGTCAAACTTTCGCCTTAATGAGAAGGTCAGTCTCTCCATGTAGTGTATTTCGTTGATTATTGCGAACCAAAATATGTGAAAGTGATCTGCCAGTGATTTATAACATTGCCTCCAACATTTGTTCTGACCCTGAAACCCTGCTGCAAAAACTTCAACTTCTGACTTATAAAATCTGGTAAACGGATTGACATCAACTTTTTGCATGCAGAGGCAGAAATGTGTTCTTGACTTGCATGTGCACATATTCTATTTGAAACACAATTTTGCACCAGATGGCAAAAAAAAAAACATGAAAACTTTCTTTAAACACAACCAGTGCAGTCAAATCTCAGGAGAGAAATGAGCAACCGAAAGTATAAGGCACCTTAACGACATGGACGATGGTTGCACCGGCCGATCCCGGCTGCAGGATATAAACATCACCATCTCACACTCGCCCCCTGTGAAATTTCCTGACTATAACCTCCATTAGCTCAGCCCTTTTAGCA